TTTCTTATTAAGGCCACAGTGTTATTGGCGAATGTGTTGAGTGTTACGTTCAATACATAGTAAGATAAGTACAGCATGCATAATAGGGCAATGTTTTTTGGCTTGACATATGGTTAATGACGATGTTGGGATATGATTTCGCTCATCACGATGTTCCGCCAACGCAATCCTTTGTTATACCACAGTATACATTCTCCGGATTATAAGACGCTCCGGAAAGTAATAAGCGCCTCCAAAACGTGTACCCGGTGTCAACAGAGTTTGGACAACTCTGGTCACAAACGACAAAGATCCCCCGTGTAGGCTTCAACAGACTGTCGGGGCAAGTGGTGTTTGCGAACACCTTTTCAAGCTCCGACATGGCACTACGAGGGGGAGGGGGGAGGGCAACACCACGCCCTGCCCCCTTTGTCTCTCCAGTGCTGATGTTTACACACCGCACCATGTCCTCGTTCAAGGCTGAGCCGACCTAGGGGAGACCCAAGACCAGTTCAAATATTCGCCACTGTTATTGGTCAAATCTTGACTTAAAGCTTTCGCGACGGCATGAATTAATATTCTTTGGGTCTTTCGGTAAAGTCACGTGCTTCGGCAGCTCTCACCTGATGACGATTGCTTGTGCTGCGATCGAAACGTCGTGATATTGTGATTTTTATTATTATTTTTATTTTTATTCAATCTACGTGGCTTTACTGAAAGACCCAAAGAATATACTGTTATCGGTCGTGAGCGAGAATCTAACTCGCGCGAACCGGGTTCGTAACAGTGTGCTAACCACTGCACCACCGCTCCCCACTAAATTTGGTCAGACACATATCGAACGGATAATAAGACGGACCTTCAAATGTTGATTTAAACACGGGGAATGAAAGTGCGTCTTATAATCCGGAAAATGTACAAAACAATGATGGTGATGTGGTAATGTGGTGATGATGATTAAGATCACGATGAAATGCAAATGATATACTGTAATCTGCTATTGCTGGGTTAATTGTATTTGTCAACAACACCGCTTTTAAAGGAAAGGTACTGTATATAATAGGCGATGTTTCGGGCAATGGACCTTCAAAATGTTGAGGGATTCATAAATATATTTTATTGTGGTTGTGCACCAGTGGCGAGGCAGCAGCATCGCCAAATAGTTTGGTGAATTCTATTTAATCAGCTCAATATACCTGTATATCTCAATTCTCATTTGGAAGTGATCCGGGCATGTTGAAAGATGATTAATTATGCTGCTGCTGATGATGATGGTATTTGTGATATGGTGCAGATGATACGATTGCAATGCTGCTGATGTGATGATCATATGCCGCTGATGGTGATGCTGCTGCTGATGATGCGATGATGATGCTGCTGATGAAAATGACGCACAGCTTTCATCAGCGTTGCACGGAGTTTGCGTGAGGTCGCATTTTCCCATTGCCCGCCTCTCTCCCCCTCCCACCCTCCTCTCCATCTCCCCCTTCGCTCATCCATCTCGCTACTCTCTCCTTCACCACACTCCCCCGAACTCTCCCTTCTCTCTCTCCCCCCTCCTCACTCTGGTCTCTCGCTCCCCCTCCCCTCTCATCTCTCACATTATCTCCCCTCCACTCTCATTCTTAACCAATATTCCCTCCGCTTACTCCCTTCCCCACTCTCTCCTCTCTTCCACACTCTCCTCTCCCCCTCTCTGCGTCTCCCCCGCTCTCTCCTGTTTTCAGAATATCGCTCTCCCACCCCTCCTCTCCCACCGTGTTGTCCAGATCACACAACAAGACAAAGACCCCCCCCCCCCTCTATAGCACTGAATATTATTTTGGGGCAAGTGCTGTTAGCGAGCACATTTTAAGGCAATTACGCCACAGAAGTGGTCAACACCACGCGCAGCAGCCTTTGTCTTCCCAGTGCTGATGTTTACACATTGCACCAGGTATTAATTTGAGTCTGAGTTGACCTAGGCGAGGTCCAGGACCGGTTCGAATATTTCCACTGTTATTGGTCGTGAACGGGAATCGAACTCCGGTTGAACTCGCGCGCGACGAACCCGGCCTCCCCTAAGGTCGACTCAACCTCAACTGAATGCCTGGTAAGACGTGTAAACATCGCAACTAGGGAGACAAAGGCGTCCAGGCTTGTTGATGGCCACCCAGCCCCTCGTGCGCCGTGTCGGCCTTCATAGGTGCTCGCTGACAGCACTTGCCCTAACGGGGTTTTTAAAGGCTACGCGGGGGATCTTTGTCTTTATGTGCGAGTGCGTAGCACCGCGCGCGCACGTGATTATTATGCAAGTGCGTGTGTGATGCGGGGTGTGTGTGTGTGTGCTACGGTGCGTGTGTGTTGCGATACGTGGTAATTGTGTGTACGTTGTGTGTGTGTGCTAGTGTGTGTGTGTACGTTGTGTGTGCTGCACCCAGGGTGTGTGTGTGCTGCACCCAGGGTGTGTGTGTGTGCTGCACCCAGGGTGTGTCTGTGTGTGTGTGCTGCACACAGGGTGTGTGTGTGTGTTGCACCCAGGGTGTGTCTGTGTGTGTGTGCTGCACACAGGGTGTGTGTGTGTGTTGCACCCAGGGTGTGTCTGTGTGTGTGTGCTGCACCCAGGGTGTGTGTGTGTGCTGCACCCGGGGTGTGTGTGTGTGCTGCACCCAGGGTGGGTGTGTGTGCTGCACCCAGGGTGGGTGTGTGTGCTGTACCCAGGGTGTGTGTGCTGCACCCAGGGTGTGTGTGCTGCACCCAGGGTGTGTGTGTGTTGCACCTAGGGTGTGTGTGTGTGTTGCACACAGGGTGTGTGTGTGCTGCACCTAGGGTGTGTGTGTGCTGCACCTAGGGTGTGTGTGTGCTGCACATAGGGTGTGTGTGCGCTGCACCTAGGGTGTGGGTGTGTGTGTGTGCAGCACCCAGGGTGTGTGTGTGTGCTGCACACAGGGTGTGTGTGTGCTGCACCTAGGGTGTGTGTGTGTGCTGCACACACACAGACAGGGTGTGTGTGTGTGTGCTGCAACCAGGGTGTGTGTGTGTGTGCTGCACATAGGGTGTGTGTGTGTTCTGCACCCAGGGTGTGTCTGTGTGTGTGTGCTGCACCCAGGGTGTGTCTGTGTGTGTGTGCTGCACCTAGGGTGTGTGTGTGTGTGCGCTGCGTAGTGTTCAGCGCGCTGCACTGCGAGCCCGGCGATCCGAATTGGAATCCCGCTCACGGCCGCCGACACCAACGGCGATTATCTGAACCGGTCCTGGGCCTCCCCTAGATCGACTCAGCCTTAAATGAGTACCTGGTGCGGTGTGTAAACTTCACCACCAGGGTAGACAAAGGCGGCCGGGCGTGGTTCTGGGCACCCACCCCCCTCGTTTGCCGTTCCGGCCTTCATAGGTGCTCGCTAACAGCACTTGCCTCTGTTAAGGCTATACGAAGAATGTCTTTGTTTTTGTGTACGCGTGCGTGCGTGTGTGTTAGGGGGGTGTGTGTATTGCAATGCTCCGCGTGTGTACATTATTCGCGCGAGCACGTGTTCATTATGTAAGTGCGTGTGTATGTGGGAGGAGCGGTGGCGCACCGGTTAGCGCACTGCGCTACAAAACGCGGAGTTCGATTTCCGCTGACAAACGATAACGGCGGCGAATATCTGCACCGGTCCTGGACCTCCCTGAGGTCGACTCAGCCTCAAATGAGTATCTGCTGCGGTGTGTAAGCATCGACTGGTGAGAGACAAAGGCGGCCGGACGTAGTGCTGGGCCATCCACCCCAAACCTCGTGCGCCGTGCCGGCCTTCATCGAGTGCTCGCTCACAGCACTTGCCCCCAACTCTCTGTTAAGGCTACACGGGGGATCTTTGTGTATGTGCGTGCGTGTGCGTGGGTGGGGATTTATATGTACGTGCGATGTGCGTGCGTGTTTGTGTGGTGCGAGTTGGTGTGTGTGTGTACATTAGCGGCACATGTGCGCGCACGTGTAAGTGCGTGTGTGTGAGATGCAGTGGGGGGGGGGGGTAGCGGTGGTGTGGTGGTTAGCGCACTGCGCTACGAACCCGACGGCACCCCAGTTCGACTCTTGCCCACAGCCACCGTCAGCGTTATTTTAATGAAGGCACCCCCCCCCCTCCCCTGGGTGGACTCAGCCCTAAATGGTGTGCGGTGTGTAAAACAAAAAAAACACATCAGGGAAGACAAAGGCGGCCAGGCGTGGTGCTGACCACACCGCGGCCTTTCATAGCATGCTCGCTCAACAGCACTTGCCCCAACAGTCTGTGTGAGGTTATCTGGGGGATATTTGTCTTTGTGTGTGCGCTGCTGCTGCTGCTGCTTCTATAACAAAGTGCGTCACACGATTCCGGGACAGCTCCATCGCGCGGCGGTCGGTGAGCACAGTGGCAAAACCATCACCACTTAACACCATCACCAACATCACCACCATCATCATCTCCTGGTTTAATAAAAGATTACTTGGTTGATCGTCCAGAAGCAGCAGCAGTTAACAGCATCATCTTCACCATTGTCACCATCGCCAACATCACATCATCATCAACACCATCATCAAACACCATCGTCATCAGCATACCATCATCAGCAGCGGCATCATCATTCACTCGCACGGAATCGCCAGTGCTGTGTTTATAGAAACAAAAAACAATGGGTGAGGTGGTGGTGTGCGGGTGAAGGTGGTACCGTGGTGATGGTGGGGGGGGGGGGCACGTCGGGATGGAGTGGGGGGAATGAGGAGAGGGGGGGGGTGCTATGGGGGGGGGGTGTGGGGAGGAGAGAGGCGGTAGGGAGGAGGAAAGAGGAGGGGGGGAGAGGGCTGGGAGGAGGGAGAAAAGAGGAGAGGGTGGAGGGAAGAGGAGGGGGTGCAGTCGTAGTCGTGTTTGGTAGTGATGGGGGGGGCAAGTGGGGAGGGAGTTGATGTAGAGGAGGAGGTGGTGGTGGGGGGTGGTAGTGGGGGAGGAGGAGGTGGTGGGGGGGTGGTAGTGGGGGGGGAGTCACGTGGTACAGTCCCGACGAGCTTGGCGCTATAAGAGCGACTGCGCGTGACTTAGCGCGCTCAGTCGCGACCTCGATCGTGTTTCGCGTCGCCAGCGGTCATACTTCCCCACTTGTTTCACTCCGCCTCTCAAGTTAAGGGGTGTTACATGGGGGTAGCTGTGTTCTCCCCCCCCCCTACTTACCCCTCTGGCTGGAGGCGGGCTGTGTCGCAGTTGGAGGAGAGAGGCGGTCGTGGTGGGGCACTTTTGCTGAGACGTGAACTCTCGCACGAGGTAAGAAGGCGCTTCTGTTGATATACTTAATTACCACTTTGGTGCATTTAAAAAAAACCATCACAACATCGATGTAAGCGTGTGCGAGCGCGTGTTGTTAATGTGCGTGGCTTAAGCCGCGTGAAGTTGTGGTTGGTGGTGATTGTGGTGGGGGGGGTTTTGCTGCGTCATAGCGCGTAGTGGGGTGGTCGCCGTGCGTGATGCACGCGGCGTGACACGTCTCATCACGGCTATGATGACAACCCTCGTCAACAAAAACAACAACAACATCGTCAAACAGCAGATCCAACAACATTAGCCGAAAGCACACTACGCTTGTACGTAATATTGGTTGGAATAATTACGTTTGGTACATTGGCAAGTGCGCATCGCTCTAATGTCAACACGGATACGCGCGCCTCGCCTTCTCTCGAGTGATGATGAAAGTTGAGATGTGGATGGCAATTATGATGGTGTTGGTGATGGTAGTGATGTCCGTCACGTGTCCTTGGCGACTCCTCGACATCAGCAACATCATCATCATCATCCTTCACTAACAGCAGCAGCTCTTGTCGGCTGAGTCATTGATGGCCGTTGTGATGATGGTGAAAGTGATGGCGATGTTGTGAATAGGGATGGCGGTTATGTTAATGATGTTATGACGACGGTAGTGATGTGATTGTCATGTTGATATTATGACAGTGATGTTTATGATTGTGACGTTGCAAGGTGTTGCTGCTAATGATAGTGACAAGCGATGTTTTGTTGACATGTTATGATGGTGATGATGACGCTTCCCGCCGGTGTTGATGATGACGACGAGAGTGGTGCGATGTTGTGGATGCTCGTGGTAGTGGTGGTGGTGGTTGTTGATGGTGAATCACGTGGCGTGTGTTATGGTGCGCGCTTGTGGCGCAGGTGGAAATCAGAACGCAATGCGCGGCTGCGTGACGTCAGCAAAACAGGGGAGGGGAGGGGGGAGGATGATGGGGGGAGGAGGAGGATGGGGGGAGGATGATGGGAGGAGGATGGGAGGAGGAGGATGATGGGATGATGGGAGGAGGATGATGGGAGGATGGGGGGGGGGAGGATGGGAGGAGGAGGATGATGGGAGGATGTGGGGGGTGATGCGGGGCGGCGGTGGCCGATTGTTGATGGCGATGGGATGAGAGCAGAGAACACCGCCACTGCAACACGCACATTTAAATTAATCACATCCAATGGGATTGTACTCAACGCAGGGTGATGAATGATTTTGGGTGTAATGGGGGGGGGGGATGGAGCGGGGGGAGGGATTTGTTATGATCGTTCGGGAGAAATAAGTGGGGGGTGCGGGTGATATGGGGGCGGGTTGGGGAAGATTTAATCCAGCAGTGGATTGGCCATGACTGCTGATAGTGATTGACTGATGACGAAGGGACAGAAGGGGCGTTGAATTAATTAATTAAGCCCGTTGACACGCAGTACAAAATAGAACCACGTCAACCTGCAGCCACTTTCCCTTCCGTTTCGACCGCCGACTTGAGCACATCCCAGTTCGACTGTCTTTGCCGGCACGGTTTATTGAATTGGGAGTTGGGGGGGGGGGCGCTTGGTGCGAGGGTGGTGGGGGGCAGGAGGTTGACGTGTGTTCGTGTGTCTGCGGCCGCGGGGCGGGGGGGGGGAGTCTAAATAAAATAACGTGCAGGCACCAACATAATTACAACGAAAATGATGTAAAGAGATGTTTGCCCATTGGCTCCTGGCCTCGTGTGTACGAATCGCACACGTCACTTGGAGACTGTTGTTGTTACGTTTCCGATGCCGGCCCCGCCCCCCCCTGGTGGATAGGGGGGGCGTCAGGGGTGGGGGGTAGGGGGGGGTGAGGGGAGGGGAGGGGGGAGGTGAGGGGAGGGGGCCATGGGGGGTCCAATGATCGCGCGCGGACGTGACGCAGCTCGCGATGGAATTTTCGATGCGTCACTGGGTTCTGGAACACGGGGAGGGGCGGGGCTGGTGTGGAGGATGGGAGGTGGGGGGGGGCTGGGTGGGATTGCGGTGTTCGTAAGTGGGGAGGGGGAGGAGCTTGTCTAGGGGGAGGGGCTTGTGTAGGGGGAGGGGCTTGGGGAAGGGGGCTGGTATAGGGGGAGGGGCTGGTAAAGGGGAGGTGTGGGGAGTCATCTCGAACGATTCCTTTTCCCTGTCGATTTCTTGATTATCGAGAATCTACCGTTTCGATCCAGTAGAGTGTGTAGAGGGTGATGTAACGATGCATCGATAAATAATCGATTAGAATCGCGATACATGCATCGAATCGTGCGTGAGAGCATGACGAGGTATACAAAATATCAAAATATAAATACGGCAAAATGCAAAGTAAGAATTGTATGATAATCGTGATAATCGAATCGCTTCAGGATAATTTACCCATAATTATTGATATTTGCGAGTGTTTAAACTCTATTGGTGATCCTTCTACGGTGGTGGTAGCACTTGTACAACAACAACAACTCGGCGCGTTCCTTTAAAAGGAAAAATCTATAGCCAACGTTTCGGGAAATGCTCCTGAATGTGCCATGAAGAAGGGCCATCGCCTGAAACGTTGCCTATTTGTTTTCCTTTGTAGGCGGCACACAGTTATTGACGAACGCGTCGAGTTATTTTTTTAAAAGTGTCCTTGCGTTTATAATCGCTAGGTGTGGGGGGGGGGGGGTTCAACTCGTTGCGTTTAATTAATCGTGATGTAAAAAAAAATCGTCTAAAATAATCGATATAATCTCAAATGACTGTGAATGCGACCACTCCACGGGGCTTCGATTGATCGCGTGTCGTATAGTTAGGACCCCAATTCCCATCGATAAATCGTGCCGCGATCAACATGGATAGCGTCCAGTAATGGGTTACGATGTCGCTGGTCACGTGCCCCAGTTTGGATGTCACTAATTAGATGCACCTAATCGATTATATATTAATCGATTACTTTCAATAAACGTGTTTTTTTATTTTTCTGTTTATATCTGTAAAAGTCACCGACATTTCCCGATGTGTCTTAAGGGCGACAGCTTGGAGTGGGGGGGGGCGTGGGGAAGGCCTTCATCCAGCAGTGGATTGATCACGGCTGCTGATCGATGACAATCGATGACACTCACAATCCACTGTTGGTTTTTGCATAAGGAATGATCGATCGGTGAATCGATTACTCGGTGGAATCGTGTAACTAATCGAATCGTTAAAGGAATGGAATCGTTGGAGATTTGGAATCGCTAAGGGGGTGGGATCGGTTACATGTGGATTGCGCAATGTTGGCTCGTGTTGTTGTTGTTGTGGTGACGTCGCTGAGCAAGTCCCGCCCCCATCCTCATCCTCCTCCCCCCCATCAACACACAACACGCAGACTCGCCCACTCACGCTGCACTCGCCATCAAAGATAAAGACCCCCCCCCCGTGTAGCCTTGAACAGACTGTTGGGGGCAAGTGCTGTTAGCGAGCAGCACCTGTGAAGGCCGGAACTGTGGCACACGAGGTAGTGGGTCTGCCAGCATTACGCCCGACCGCCTTTGTCTCCCCAGTGGCGATGTTTACACGCCGCACCAGGTGGCTCTTTTGAAGGTCTGAGTCGACCTAGGGGGAGGTGCAGCGCTCGAATCGCCATCGCCACCCCGCACACACAAAGACAAAGATCCCCCATATAGCCCGCACACACGGGGCACTGCATCACCACCAACAACAACACCACCATGAACACCGCCCTACATACACCACCAGCCCTCTCACTCCACACACATCGCCAGCGCCAGCCACTTCTCCACACGCAACACTCCGCCATCACGTTCATTCCCCCATTACTACCCTGTGTCCATTACAGCCATCAATACGACCTCACCACCACGATCTTCTACCACGCACTCATGCCCCTCCCCACACAACAATATACGCACACACGCACACGGCTGCCATGGCCAGCCATTGGCATCATCACGACCACACTCACCCCGCCTCCTCCCCTGGTTATGTAACATCTCACGGTGTCCTGTAAACAGCCGTGAAGTTGCCTCCTTAGATAAGTCTTGTGCCGTTTATACGCTCTTCACAACCACCAAAGACAAAGATCCCCCGTGTAGCCTAAGCAAGCTGTTGGGGCAAGTGCTGTTAGCGAGCAGCACCTGGTACGGCACACGAATGGGTGGGTGGCCAGCACAACGCCCGGCCGCCTTTGTCTCCCCAGTGGCGATGTTTGCACCGCACCAGTTACTTATTTAAGACTGAGTCGACCTAGGGGAGGCCGAGGGCCGGTTTGGATAATCATCATCGGTGTTGGGCCGTGAGCGGGAATCAAACTCTGGTCGCCGGGTTCGCAGTGCAGGGCGCTAACCTCTAAACTACGTCTTCCCACAACTACCACCACATCCCCCCCCCCCGACTCCTTCCAAACAAAATAATTTAACTCAGGAATTGAACGGTCTAGTCGTCGTGGATATTATGAGAAACAACTAATACGAAGGCAACACTAAACACATCCACGCACGGTACTCTGGGAGTCCATCCCATATCGGTCCCATTTCGGTAGCATTTTCATTAATTGTACAATAAAACTCTGGACCGGTTTTAACAACGTTCTGTGTCTCAAATGAATACAGTATATTGTAAAAGTGTATACGCCGTGCGTATAGAGAGACCCTCTAACTCTCTTCCAATCAACTTAGCAGCAGTGGCAACTGTGGCCTCTAGTGTAAAAAAATACGCATTTTTCTCTTGTCACAATTTTTTGTATGTGTCCATCGACTGACAGGAATTTTGACAATCCACTGCTGGATGAGGGAGCTCCACACGCATCTGCAGTGTTGTGGGAGCTGTGTGACCACCGTGTAACTAACCATACTGGTTCGTTTATAAATATTGCCCATTAAACTCTGGAAAGCCTGACTCAAGAATGTCAAAACTTTCGTGAGTTTTTTTCTTTGACATTGAGATGTTTTGGCAAAATTAACATTTCAGATCCTGACGAACGTGACTGAGTGGTCGATGTAAATCATACTTCGTAT